GCACATGTGAAGTAGACAGGCAGCGTGTGACCCTGTCCAACCGTCACAAACTTACACTTTGTAAAGATCTGAAGGCTAGCGAGGAAGACGATCATTCGAGTAGACCTCGCGAGGCATTGACTTGAGTCGACACAATTGAACTTGTTGCTTGTTTGATTGCTTGTTTGAGAGGCGCTTGCTTCTAGTAGCGTTTTGGTTTGGGACACTTGTCTCCGTAGCGTTTGGCTGGCATTTCTGCGAGTATTGCATACTTGGGCGTGGTCTCAAAACAGATTTGCAGTCACTATGAGAACGCCGACAATTTGCCAGCCGCCGGGCCCCCACCCCCCTGAATTTTCAGCCAAATTTGGGGCCAGCCGCCGGGCTGCCCCCCCCCAAAAATTGGGAACAAAATTCCAAAAACTGAGGCTATACGGAACTTTTTGGGCAACATACGGCCGGGAATGCACAAAGAACTATTTCCTATGTTTCATAAGCGCGTGGCGGCTGCGAAAACCGCCGGCATATCTTGGAATCATGCAACTTTTGTTGGTTTGGAACCCGGGCATGTTTTCCCCGAGCACAGCCGCCGGCCGCCAGACCCCTGGGCCGCCGGGCACTTTCGCCAGCCGCCGGGCCCCCACCCCACTCGAGCAAATGTCGGCGTTCTCGCAGTGGCTGTAAATGTGTTTTGAGACCACGCCTAGGTGTGAGATTGTCAGGCCTTCCGGGACGCCTTAAGCCCCGCAACGACGTTCTCAGCCTCATACCCTCTCGCAACCTGCCATATCACTTGGTTCTGAGCTCGATCAGACTTCACCGCGAATGTACAACATTGCAACGTGGTGAATGCACAGTGGCCCAGTCAACGGGAGCACAGTGCCAGTGGTGAGCTTGTGCGAGTTGTAACTGTTTGTCTCGATTCGTCACTTCACATGACTGCTAGCTGGAGTGGTTTGGGACACTCCCCTGTGCAATACTTCTCGGTAGTATCGCACTTGTCCGGTTAGCTTTGCATGGGCCCAACGCTATATTCCGCTGCCTGCTAATCGATAGTTAAGTTGTCTGTAGCTCCACGCTGAGTTACGCTGACAGTTAGCTGTGGGTTAGTATAACTCTGAGCCATACGGGAGTGGGAACTAGGAGTGGTGTTTATTGTAGACTCCTGCTAGTGGTCCCAGCGTTCCGGTGGTCTTCCTAGTGCAGTACAGAGTGCCCCTATAATACCCCCCTTCGCTTGATTTTCCACGGAAAACATTGTGCCCGGGGGACGTCGACCTAGCGTAGTGGTAGTGCGAAGTGTCCAAGGCCTCAAAACGGAGGCTCGAATCCGTCAAAAACTTCTACTTTTTGGGTGTTCCGCAGAGCGGCGCATGCAGTATCACAGTAAATTTACTCGAGCCGATCACCTAGGAGTCTGAAGAGTCGAATCCGGACCTTTCAAATCAATTCGGGGTACGCCCCGGCGACTCCGGCGCTTTGCGGCGCAGGTCTCTAGATTTTCACAATGACTTGTGATCTCCCCGTGTCCTCTGGACTCGAAGTGGACAGAGTTGCGAATCACCGTACGCCGGTGTCATCAGTTTCAACCGAGCACCGACTTTCGAGTGACAAGCGGTATGTAGAGTGAACCGCGTGAAGTTGTGCGATCGACGGCGAGATTGGTGACGGGTCGTGACCGCCGGCTGCCGGTATCTGCTTAGCGTCCGGCGTCACGGGTTACAGAACGCCCACTTCAAGATGTACAGTTACAGGTACAGTTACAGTTTTAGTACAGTGTACAGTTTCATTTATAATAACACTTACAGTTTTGATTTAACGGTTATTGTCACACTCAAAACTACGACATGACTCTGGATAAGTTGCAACTTTAGTGGAGTGGATCGTGTACAGCCATGGTTAAAACGGCACAGACAAAGTTACAGAGACCAGTCACAGTTAAAGTTACAGTTACAGTTACAGCTACAGTATCCAAGAAATTCGATCTTGGTTCGGTGATATGATTTCGATCTTATATCCGACTCTCGATTATCATAATCTAGAACTCCCCGTACTCTTATTTGGTTACAATACACATATACCCGCTCGCGACATTGCCCCGTGGAAACTTCTTCACGCAGAAACCCTCCGTGCAATATGGTTAGCGCGCAATGAAAGCATTTTTGAAGGAAGGACTGTATCTCTGAACGAAACCATTGCTCTTATCAAATGCCGCATTCTTCAATCTGCACAGATTTACTATTATAACATTCGCAATTCACATGCTAAGAACAAGAGACGTCGCATTAAAAGATTCCTGCATCTTTGGACAATCACTGTCCCCATTTGCATGCTAAATAGTAAAGGCTATCTTGCTTTGAACCCTCTTCTGACGACTTAGCCTAGCCGCTATATACCGCACATATAATCAACGGATCAGCGCTATCTTATACATGTTCACCACAACGTGATTATCGCGGTCTTTATTGTTCGATAAAAGGGGGTGGCCCGGGAGCATAACCCGGTCTGTTTTTAAGCATCCTGTGAACCCACGAGCTAGTGCGGTTTCTTAGGAACCCTAGCTCGGTGGGGGATGCCCACCTTCCTCCCTGCGGGGAAAGAAAAAAAAAAATAAAACAAAAAGTTACAGCTACAGTTACAGTTATCTGCTTACATAACAAATCTAACCTTACCCGGTTGAGGTTCACTACGTATATGCAGAGCTCGGTTCATCATCGTGGGGGGTGCCGCGGGAAAATTTAGACACAGGTAATCTATTGAAGTTCCAAAGCTACGGTCAAAATCGTCCGGGAAATCGACGGGCCTGGATTGTCGGGCCTGGATTGTGCGGGCCTGGATTGGTACTCTCCCTTCTAGGGCGGCTCAGTTGAGAGGAGATATAGAGGTGCTGTGTCAAGGCCTCGAATATGTGCGTACTGACTCTTACCAATCTAGGGTGCCGGGTCACTTTGAACTGGCGCATGCACCCCCTAATCGGTATTCTGTTCAAATCTGTTGAAGGGAGGGGGCTTGGGTTGCTTCAAAGTTCAGCGGCCAGCCAGACAAAGGTGTGGATGAGCAGTGAGGGGGGGACTTGAGGCCTTTGGCAGGCTTCAAGGCCGCGAGCTAAGCCCCAGCCGGATTTCAGCTGAAGAACATACATTAATACATACGGTATGCTTCCGGCTCTGCCCTTCGTAATAGGTAGCAAGGACATTCATATGCAGCCGATCAGGCTCCAAACCGCTGTTGAACCACCGACAAGAGAAGGCATTGGCAAATCCCAAGTTTTTCCCATGATGCCGCATAGTTCATCATCTGTACCACCCGGGGTGACCAATTCGATGAACATCTATGTAGGCCGGCGATATCGACCCACACATGTGGTCCAGCTAGCTCTCCATGCAAGCTTATACGCCACATTGGCCACAATACATAAGCATATAACCCCGGGGCACAATAGAAACTAAGTTGGATGAGTACGATCTAGGCTGCTCCCCCATGGGCCAGGCTTGTTCTCACATGTGCCAGGAACTCCCTGGTCTCCGCATATGTGGCTCGAAGGACAGGTAGAGACACGGGCTCCATAACTCGGGTCAGACCGGCGGCCTCGGAGGACCCCGGCCCTTGGGCCCAAGAACTCATTGCAAGAGTCGTGACTAAAGCGACTAGGTTTGAATTGGATTTGAACCCATGACTCGAAATGTGATTTGTGACGTAGGACTTAACACTTGAATGCCATACTTCCACCTTAATGAGCATCCGATCACATGTTCCCAATAAAATATACTGGTTGGTACACGGACAGAGTGAAAACGGTATGTCCATAATCTGCCAGCCTGCTCCTTCTTCGTACAAAATTCCACCGATTACCCCAGCTTTCAAAAAGACATAGGTTCTGACTAACTGTGCGCAAGCTGATTTGGACTCGTGGTTTTATAAATGGCCAGAGCTCATTCGTTCTATTTACAGAAAGCAAGAGCTTATGGGAGCTAGCCCATGGTGTATGATGCACTTGGAAGGTTGATCACTGTGCTCTTTGTCTTGGTCATCAACAGGATGCTGTTTGGGATACCTTGAGTGCCAATACCTGCAACAAAGAGGAGACCATGCCATCAATTTTGCAATCAGTAAACCCTGCGAATATAACACTGTCTCCATCCAATGCATTTTTTCGAACCCTCTAAGCAATCGACTATAGTACTACCAGCTGCTTGTAGCCTTTTCAAACACAGGCGTGCCTGCATCAGGTTGCGACCGCACACAATACAAGAAACGCATGACCAACACGCCCGCTCTCTCACAACGTGAAGCTTGCGCTCAAGGAGACGCTGTGCGGCAAGCACGAATTCATTTCTCACCGGAGTCCCTGATTCCCTGGAAAGGGAAGTGGTCGGGTCCTCGCGCAGGGGCGGAGTTGATCTGCACGGTGCCCGTCTCCATGGCATCGCTGATGAACATGGCCTTGTTGATGTCCTGCGTAAAGATGCAACCCTGCACAGCACGGCAAAAGAGGTCAACGATCCGACATCGTCCGAGATGAGCAAGACGTTGCCGCTCTAAGCGGTGTGCACTCTTTGTTGCTGATATGAGCCTTTGAACCCAGAGAAGACGACGGCGTCTGGCAACCACCGTTTGTGACAAGTGCTTCCCAACGGCTGACACCAATATGGACAGACACAACCCAAAAGTACTAACAGCAGACGGCCCTGCATGTGGCGACATGAAGTAGCTTTTTGCAGCAAATTTGATCTCAAGGCGGGGCTAAGCGAGCCGATCTCGTAAGGTGGGCGCGCGCTTGCCTGCAGGCCGAACTGGCTGGCGTTGCAGTGGTGGATCGCCTCCTCCACGGTCTTGACCCGGATGACCGGCAGGATGGGCCCGAACGGCTCCTCCCACGCGATGCGCATCTCCGGCTTCACGTGGTCGATCAGGACCGGCCAAATCAGGTTGCCCTCGCGCTTGTACGCCTGTGGGGCACACGCACGCGGGTGTTAAGGGCACAGTCAGGGGTACAAGTTGTTGTCTGTAGATGATTGTCTAGGGGAATATATGCTTAATCTAGACCTTTCTGATGCTGCATCGCTGTTGAGCGTGAACAATTGTCCGGGCGGACTACATAACTGACCCAGATCTTTCTGACGTTGCAAACGCTGCTGACGGGACAAAGCCTTTTCAAAAGCTTATCTTTCTGCAGCAGATACTGAATCCAATGCTGAGTCTTCGTACACTGTACGGACACCTTCTCCAAAGTGCACATGCACCGGCCGCTTCTAACATTTCAAAACAGAGCTGCTATAGGAGTTCCTTGATGGTCAAAGATCCGGCTTCTCGTGCTAGGATTTCATCCCTGCCCACCCGCAAACACGTCCGTGAGCAACGTGTGCAGCGGGTTACCTGGCAAAGCGTGGCGCCCTTGGTCTCGGCGTCCTTGACGAGGCCCTCGATGAAGTTGGCGCTCGACTCGGTGACGACGGGCGTGATCTGCGCGTCGTCCTCGGGCATGCCCACGCTGAGCTTGGCCACCTTGGCGTTCACCAGCTCCACGAGCTTGTCGGCAACGCTCTCCAGCACCAGCACCACCTTGATCGCAGTGCACCGTTGCCCACTGCGCGCGCCAGGCACACAAATACGTGAGCAATTAGACTGACAAATGCGACCGACTCTTGACCAATCAATTTTCTCCATCCATGAGCCGCATTCTCCCCAGAGCTACCCTTGAAAGTTATGACGAACGACGGACAGTGGTCGAGGCCGCCGCGTGGTGAGAGTACATGTTCGGGGCAACCCCCTGCGGAAGATCTACAGTCAAATTTTGATCGACAATCAGACATCTCGGCAGCAGTACGAGGCCCTGGCGACGTTTGAGGGCCGACAGACGCCCAGAGCATCCTTACGAGGATGAATTGGGGGCTAATTGGTGTTGCAACACTGGGGATGGCACATGCGGGACCCCTTAAACACTTTCAACATAGTTTGTGGCGGTCACCTGTAGGAGAAGCCCCCCTTGATGATGTTGGCGGCCACCAAGTCGAGGTCGGCGTCCTCCAGCACGATGCACGCGTCCTTGCCGCCCAGCTCCATCTGCATCGGCACCATGCCCGCCTTGCGCGCAATGCTGATGCCCGTGTCGCCGCCGGTGAAGCTGCGGGACACAGGTATAACATCTAGGGTCAGGCACGTCCACAGCGACTGCTGTAAGAGGGTAGCCATAAGCGTGCCGAAAGAATGGGATACCTGCTAGAAGCAACTGGTCCGTCTAACCAAGCACTCGTTTGCAAGGGTTATAGGGGATCGTCAAGGTCAGAAATCTCGCATAATTTGAAGGCTGTCGCTCACGCGAGATATCGACACTCGACACACAAAGAGGACAACTCCCATCAGTGGCTGCCTGCTTTTCGGAACTATTCAGAAGCACTGAGTGATACATCCCCCAAGATACAGCGCTCAACGACTACCTAGCGTACATCTTCAATCTGGACTACTGAGCATACCTGATGCAGTTGACGCTGGGGTGAGTGGTGAGGAAGTCGCCGATCTCGGAGCCCTTGCCGGTGACGCAGCTGAGCAGGCCCGGGGGGAAGCCCGCCAGGTGGAAGCAGTGCACCATGTGCAGCCCCGACACAGCACCCTGTGCACAACACAGCGTCAGGGCACCCTCAAAGCAGGAGTCGAGGCCGGAAGATATGTAGTGCTGCGGCCTAGATCACAGGAGCCATGTCAAAAGACAGACTGGGAGAAGCAACAAATTGGCGTCGGAAGGAAGCTACGAGGGGTTCGGTAAAGCCAAGCGTACGCCACTCACCTGGGTGGGGGGCTTGAGGACAACGGCGTTTCCAGCAATAAGGGCAGGGGCGATCTTAGAGACAGCGAGGTTGACGGGGTAGCTGCAGGGCAAGGAAGATACGCAGTTGCAGCTTCCCATTTCGTCTACCAGGTCAATCAAAGATGAGTCGAAGTGATTGTCTTGTCACGTTGCTTCAGCTCAGAGGGCGCGATTGCTAATCAAAGGGGCAAGGGTATATGTCAAGCACACATTTCTAACCATCCATAGAAGCTGGGGAACAAAGTTGAAGCGTGACTGGCTTACTTGAACGGCGGGATGCAGAGGACTGTGCCCAAGGGAATCTGCAAGTGCCAGGAATACAGGAGTCAGCTCTTGCATCGGTCAAACCTGATAATCAGATCGACCACCTCTAAAAGCTTCAGACCAGCCGCTTTACACTGACGAATCTAAGGATTGAAGCGCATGATCCTTGGCCACCGCCTTTCCTTGCAGGAACTCTTCATGGGTCAGACTATACAGTAGTGCGCCAACAGCTCACAATCCCAGAAAATACATTGCGGACCACTCCGGATATGAGGAGTCAGTGACTTTGCTGTCCTGGCAAGTACGATGCTCACCTTTGATGCCAGGCACAATTTGTTGCGGTCAGTTCCAGGGAAGCTGTCCGACATAATGAACTTGCCCTCGCCAAGCAGGCGCACTCCCTCCTCAGCACAGTACGAGATCAGGTCTCCCGAGCGCACAACCTGTGCGGGGAGTGGGGCACAGAATCAGGTCAGTTAACCATCCAAAGCGGCTGCGTCCTACTTACTCGCGTCCTACTTACTCCCGTCCTACTTACTCCTCCTGAAAAAGTAACATTAGTGCATGAGTATATTTGTGCACCAGTTTATTGATGTAAGGCGCACTCAAACAAAGCATTTCTCTAACCAAGGAGTGTTGTTGATGATCCAAGCAAGCATGCCTGAAAGTCAAAGCCATGCTTGGTGGTGCGCACCTCAGTCACGGCATCCTTTGCTGGCTTGGCAATCTCCTTGACCAGCGCGGCTGCGATGGGCGTCTTGTGCTCCTTGAGCATCGCCGCCGCCTTGTGCAGTAGCTCCGCACGCTTCCACAGTGGGGTCTTGGCCCATGCCTTTTGCGCCACCTTGGCAGAAGCAAACACCGCATTCACCTCGTCCTGGGTGCACGCTGGACAAGCAATGTGGCACGTCAGCACTGGCAGAAACTTGACTCGTTGAGCAGAGGTTCCTGAAAAGGTTGGATGAAACGTGCAAAGGAGACACCGTTCTTCCTACAAACAGATTGCTAAGAGCACACAATTGGGAAGCATATATTTGACTGCCACCTTTTCGAAATTTGCGCAATCTGGACCTGTAATCAGCCAGACAATTTCTGATCATCGTTGTTTCGCAGACACGAGTTGAAACTACTTGACAAAACATGCTTGTCAAGCGCACCATAGTCGTTTGATCAGGATGGACAACACCATGCGGTGAGCCGCCGTTCCTCCTACGAACAATTTGCTAAGAGCATAAAAGAGGAAAGCAGATAAGTGGCTCTTAGACTGCCACCTGTACTTGATTGCGGTCTGGACAAGCAACCACGTTTTTCTGAGGCAGCTAATAAAAGATCATCACATGTTTCTCACGCCATGTTTTGAATCTACTTTAAGAAATAGGTTCTACATCTGTAAGCGGCTGACTGTAGATCGCCACCTATGGGTTTAGTGAGAAGCGCCATGCAGCAGAACATGTTAAATTGCACAATAACAAAGTATAAAGGACCTTCCAAGCATTTCTGATCGTTCAAAGTTTGCAAAGAACCACCCTAAACGCCCGAGTCAGTTCATGACAATGTTCATGACTCAACATAAAGTGCTTCTATTGTTGTCATGGCAATACTCGCCCCATTTGTGGACCACTTTGCACTTGGATAGCTAAGTATGTAAAACAGCAATGTCAATGCAACTAAAGCCAAGGGGTGCATTGCATGCTCCCGCACAACTCGAGCTCTTCCAAGGACATCTTCCATCCACATGATTGTAGTACCACAAGCTTTGCAAACTGAGAAGCTAAATCATCTGAGTTAAGCCTTGAGCTTTCATTGCTCCTTCATTGATAGCTTTCATTTGGAGAAAGCAAAGGATTTCAATAAAGGCCTGAATGGGACGCAAGCAGAAAGCCATGAAAGTTCTCTGAACGCATGGCAGGACCGACTACGACGAGGAGTCTCCTGCTGCAGATCTTCTGATCCTCTTTGCCTCAGATCTGACGTAGTGAGCAGGACTATGAATCACAAAAGACGAAAGAATTACGCTGCAAGCGCTGATGTGCTACTGAGTTGCTCAGATCAATTGTGCGGACAACTCTAAATGACGAGTACATCATTTGCTAGCTTGCAATCAGTGACCAAGGAAGCCAGATCAAGCAAGCGAGATAAAGCTCGGATCCATCAGAGTCCGCACCTTGCACTTTGTATTGGACCTTTTGCGTGCTTGGGTTGACCACATTCACGGTCTTCTTCGAGGCCGACTCCTGCCATTTGCCCTCCGAATAAAACTTGAAGGTATCCTCCCCAGCCGCAAGATCTTCGAAAACACCCGTGCCCGCCATGATCCTATACCAAAAGACCAACGCCAAGCCTTTCACAAGTTTCAGCTGCTGCCACAGACCCCTTGTTCTTCCTCAACTTCAAGTTCAAGCTGACGTTTGAGATACCCGAATAAACTTCGCAATGTGTTCAATCTCGCTGCTTCGCAAGCCAGTCCCGCAAGCACTTGCAATCCTCAACTCTCGCAAAAGTTCTCAGCAAGACGTTGCGTATCAGTCATGCAGCACAGCCGCGCCCTGCATGCATATGTAAAGGTTATCCAACGAGTGCGAGAGAATGGCCCCGAGTGGAATATGAAGCTCGAGTTTGACGCGAAATCTTCGATATTCTCTCGCACTCGTTGGATAACTACCGTACTGCTATTTATTCTCGGCAAAAAATAAATAATTATCCGGGCCTGCCGAAAATTTCAGAAAATACTTTGAGGCGATAATGGTTCGATAACGGTTATTTTAGCAGGTAACCACTGGTCTGCCGAAAGGATAGAAAGTTTCATAATTAATTATTCGGCGTCGAAGGTGCTGAAATCAAATAGCAGTACGGTACTACTTATCCCACGACCGGTTTTTGCGCTCAGCCATTTCGGCGTTGAGTATTAGTAAAGTTTCGGCGTCGAACTTAATCGGCGACCCAGGCGTTGAATATATATTTTTATTCAACGCTCAGCGGTGGAATAAACGCGAGACCCTTACCAGGTTCGACGATACATCGGAGTCCGGTCGTGAGATAAGTCGGTTACCCTCACTCCTGCTCGAGCATATCGAAGATTTCGCGTCGAACGAGAGCGGATATTCCACGAGGGCCTCCGAGGCCCGGGTGGAATATGAAGCTCGAGTATATATATTCAACGCCTGGGTCGCCGACTAAGTTCGACGCCGAAACTTTACTAATACTCAACGCCGAAATGGCTGAGCGCAAAAACCGGTCGTGGGATAAGAGGGGACAGGAGTCAGGACCACAAGTCACATGCATCACATGGCGGGGCAGGCAAAAGCTGGGCAGGCAAAAGCTGCCTCTGCAGGATGGCCGGGAAGCTGCGCACTGTGCTGCACTCGCACTGTGCACAGTCTGCTGTCTGCAGACGGTGTGCAGTGTGCACGAATCTTCTCATAAATCTTGATCGGCCATCGATTGATTAAACATCCTGCTTCGACGGTCAGCTTTGGCCGTCTGTATCATATCGGACGGATGTTGTATTCACGGAAAGAGAGAAGAACACGCGGCAGCACAGCAATCGATGAATCTCATATAGAATCTTTACGAGATCCGACCATGCAGAAGGGATAACAGAATTGCAATTCCAGGCATGCCAGGACCGTCGGTCAATCAATACCGGTAATCAAATTCCTCAAATTCAAAGACGAAGTTTGACTTGATAGGGTTCTAGGGTCGAGTCCGATCGGCTGACATAGTCTCCAAGGTGATTGGCATGTATCACATTACATTCTTCATTCAAATACATTATACAAATTCGATGATTGCGGGCCGCTCATGATTTTCTGATCGTCTTGTTGCGGCACCGCCTGGCATATGTGGTGCATCATTCTTGGATCGAATGAAAACGTGAAGCATGAATTCTCATCTGTGCGCCGCCGGCCGTCTAACGTACGTGTCACTCCTAGGTAATGATGGTAGACTGCATAGGACGTAGCATGTGCAATTCGTCACTATAATGCTCTTAGCTAGGAGGAGCTAATGCACGTGCCGCTGGCCGGGCCGTCGCGTCACCAGCATAGCAATTTATGTGCAATTATGATATGTCCGGATCGCTACCTTTTCAGTAATTCAATGAAGTACAGGGTCGAAATTCAGCTACCTAGTACAACGCAAGTGCAAGCACCTATGGACCATACTAGGTTTCCAATACACATCCTTTCTGTTATTGGATGTGTGAAGGTCTCTTCACATCGAATTCCTCGCAACCGAGTGCAAGTACTTGCATTGACTTCAATTGTAAGTACAAGGGCAACTGCCAACGTGATCAGACACACCGTCGAGATCCCAGGTTTTGTTCCTACCTTAGCGGTGGGCATACTAGATCTTTTCTACCTAGCGTTACTGAATTTGACGCATGCCACCTAGCTGGAGGCAAAACATTGTCAGGATATAAGTTCTTATCCCACGACCGGTTTTTGCGCTCAGCCATTTCGGCGTTGAGTATTAGTACAGTTTCGGCGTCGAACTTAGTCGGCGACCCAGGCGTTGAATATATATTTTTATTCAACGCTCAGCGGTGGAATAGACGCGAGACCCTTACCAGGTTCGACGATACATCGGAGTCCGGTCGTGAGATAAGTCGGTTACCCTCACTCGTGCTCGAGCATATCGAAGATTTCGCGTCAAACTCGAGCTTCATATTCCACTCGGGCCTCGGAGGCCCTCGTGGAATATCCGCTCTCGTTCGACGCGAAACTTCGATATTCTCTCGCACTCGTTGGATAACCTTTACGTATCAAACTCGACTACTTTTAATGGTCGCCATAAGCAGCGCAATCTATAGGTTAGACTGAGCAATCGGTGCTCAGGAGCTCACTAGTCAGTTGAACAATCTACATGTGACCGCCTCCTCGCGCCTCAAAGCGTCACATTCCTAGTGACGAGACGGCTCATGTCCCGGTTGCCTTCCCTCAACCTCCCCTTCCGTTTCTACCTCTTCCACGTTGCTTTCCGTCGCTCCTCTCTCCTCCCTTTCATCCCCCTCCTCTCTGTCCTGGCGCGGCGCTTCCAACTCCCTTTTCGCAGCTACTTCCAAGCGCGGCCCCACGTGGGCGTCCGATCTTCCCTCCTCGCGGGCACCGTCCGGCTTTGCCGTCCGTTCCTCCTCCCCGTGCGAGACATTTTGACCGCTGCCCTGCGGGGCCGACTCCCCGCCGCCCAGCCTTTGCATCTCTTTCCGTTCCAGCCCCGCGCGCCGTCGAATATCAAGGATTGTTTGCTCGAGGCCGGCCCGCTTGGCCTGGCCCGCGCCCTCCCGCGCCTGGTCGCGCGCCACCTTTTGCGCCTCCACGCGTTGCCGCGCCGGCTCCAGCTTCTGCATCTCGCTCTCCGCGCGCTCCTTGTCCTCGCGCCGCGAATTCTGCCGCGCCAGCCGCTCCATCTTGTGCGGCGTCGGAGGGGTCGTCAGCGGCGCGCTCAGGGGTGCCACCTGCACGGCGGGCACGACAATGAGTGCCGCAGGCCAGGGGGAAGGTGGTGTGCAATAAATTGGATGGCGAAAAGGCTGCTTTATTGGAAGAAGGCCGCTCAGTAAAGCAAGCTCAAAATGTGTGCAAGAACAGTAAGTGGTTCGGCAAAGCAGCACGTTGTTTTGGGACCGTTTCAAAGAGGGGGTTTGCAGCTGGCCACTCCGAGCAATTAATAAAGACGACCCGACCCGCTTGGATTAATAGGAGCGTCCACAATCCTGGCCAACCCCAGCCCCTCTTACGAAGATTACGCTGCAAGAGCGCGCGTCCGTCGTGGGACGGTGCTCACCACCATTTTCTCCGTGAGTGTGTCGATGAGCGCGGTGAGATTGTGGTCCACGAAGGTGCTGGTGGTGATGACCACCCGCTCGAAGCGGCCCTTCACCGGCACGCCCGTCAGCAGCTTGGGCGGGGGGTGCCACCTGCACCAGCGCAAACCCCCCAGTTTAGAACGGCCGCACTCGCACCTTGGTGCTTGCCACAAAATGTGACGAGCCCTTTCCTTCAGTGCAACGGTTTTGCGCGATCCAGATTTGACGATCCCGGGCAAACGCAGGGGTGAACACTTCCAGGAGAAAAGGAAGAATGCCTTTTCGTCCCGGGGCGTCCTGGGGGAAGGGGTCATTGAGACGAATTGCAAATGTCGAAGGAAGAATTGCCAAGGATGCGGCTCGCCTTGTGAAGTCCAAAGACCTTCGAACGAAGGCACCCCCAGATGCCCCCGTGAAATTACATGCTTTCGAATGTCTCGGACTCCCTGGACTTTGCTTCCCTCGTTTCAATAAGGTGCCTCAAGTCGATAAGGTGCCTCACTTATGAGCATGCCAAGCAGAGTAGCTCGCGTTTTCAAGGGAAAGAGGCAACGGCAGCAACCATCTCACCTCCACGGCTCTTTGACGACCACGTGGTAGAGCCGGCCAGCGGGGTAGAGCCGGCGCGGGTCTTTCAGCCGCCGGCTGTCCGAGATGCACGAGTCGCGCAGGCACCGCGGAATGATGAAGCAGCAAGCACTGCACACAGCAACCACGCAACCACGCATTTCACCGGTTTGTGGACTGCCTACAAATGCAGGGTTTTCACGTTGGAAATCATACTATCCTGCAAGGCCTTCAATGATATCATTTCCAGTGTAAACCTATGCCGAGCAGAGCGTGGGTGCAGCCTCCAAGCACAGTCAATAGTATATAAAACCTAGATCTGGGGCCGCAACCTGGACTCTTCTGTAGAAGCAACGAGCGGAGGGCCGTACCAGGTGATGCCGTAGCGGCAGAAGCAGGAGGTGCGATCGGCGACGGGCCAGATCTTGGCGATGGTGGTGGTGCTCATGCGAGGCAGAAAGTCGTCCTGCACGAGGGGGAAGCTGGCGCATGAAGTGTAGAAGCATCCACGGATAAGAAGTACGAGGAAAAAAGGCCGAAACTGAAACCCTGGAACAATATGGGCAGAAAAACTATTTGGCAATAGAACGTGCGAAGAAAGCCATCTTGACTCTGGGTCTTCGGACATCAAACTTTCGGTTTAATCAGTCGATCAGGAAAAATTTCTATATAGCACAATCTCGCGCTTGTTTTTATTCGATCCTGACGAGGGTGTGAAGAGCAAACGTTACATATGAGGATGACTCAAACAACGTACAGCTATAAGCGTCGAACCTGCCACCGAGTTCCAAACGCTCTGAGCATGTTTATCGATCTTGGATCGTCCACTGACCGACCATGAAGGCATCGGACGGGTCGAAGAGGAACCGCGCTAGGATTGTTTGGAATCCAACCGCAAGTCTGACACGATCATCCCTATCAGGGCTTTCATGTTCGACATAACAAGGATCAGGAACGAAGAAAGAATTGCATATAGTGCTGGGGTGCTCTTGGTGACACTCTTTACTCCATAAAACGCCGCTCCATCCATTGGGCAGGATACTGCACGCGGAGTGCACCCCCCCTCGAAACCGTTTTTACAGAGTGAGTACGGCTCCTTACCTGGAGGACGACGCCATTGACGACGTCCGCGTACTTGACGGCCAGGTCCAGTGAAACGGCGCGCGGGGGCGCAATGCCATAGCCTTTCAGGCGGTCCCTGCTTATGCCCCCTACCCGGCTGCCGTCATCAGCGACCAAGATGGTGGCCAGCATGGCGATGCCTGCACCAGGGAGGACGGCTAGAAGTCCACACGAGGCTCGGCCGCTTTGGCACCAAGGCTCGGCTTGAATCATTCACTGATATTGTGAAATTATGAGGGGTGCAAGCAGAAAGGAAGCATCGAAGCATGCTCCTGGAGCGCTTCCAAAACAACCATACAATTTCTTCTTCTTTGGCAAACGTTTCTGTAGAACAGTCCAGCAGGCCACATTACCCGCTCGGAGAAGCAATTCCGGAAACGAGTTTTCAAAAACGATGCGTTAATCAACTCGAAAAGATGCAGCGAGGCTTGTGAGTGCGCTGACCTGCGCCGAGAGAGTGCCCCACAAAGACGAGGTGGTAGTCAGGGTGTTTGGCGAGGAGGCCCGCCACATACTCACCCTCCATCTTGAGCAAGCACTCCGCAGCCTGCAGCCGTGAAAGGGCGCGTCGAACGCCTTCTGAGCATATGAAACGTATGGTCAAAGGGACTTGATAACATGAGTGTGTAACACTGAGGGGAGGAAATCCATCCTCCGAGTACTATTCTACGAAGCTTCTTTGTTGGTTGAATCGACACAATATTGATACTGAAGCTGGGCTTACCTGCAGCAGGCCATGGTGCACGTAGCCCCCTTGGTACATGGTCTTGCCCTTGTGGTTGTCGCACAGGGTGCGAAAGTCGTAGCGGCTCCCCATGTCAAGCCTGGAGGGGGGCACACAGAACTCCTCAATCAAAGTGACTTTCGGCCTAAGTAGGTTCAACAAGATTAGGACGTGCAATCCAGCAGGCAACGAGAGCCTCGTGAGTGTCGAGGAAGCTACAAAAGGGCCACTTTCTGAGATGCTTGAAAATTGGCACAATTGTCTTCCTGAAGTACTCTGATCAGCAGTAACTCGAAGCTGAGGGCTGTTCTTGGAGCTCACCCCCGTACCGCCACCACCACTGTCGTGCGATCATCGTCCTGGTAGATGATCTGTACAGACACGCAATGCGATAAGCAGAGTCCAGGAACCAGAGCAAACAACCTGCCGAAATAAACAGTTTAGCAATTGCAGCAAGCCCGAATAGTAGGAGTGCGTGTCCCTCTGTCATGTGCACTGCCCTGGTTACAAAGGCTCAGTGTAACATCACCAGGACTGGACCAAAAATTGTCAAGAAGGCGCCGCCCCTGGCATTCTCAACCGAACCAGCGTCCATTCACAGGCAAGGATTAGAGCAGCTCACATGGGCGGGGCAATGCTGAGTGCCTGCCACCAGCCTTGGCTCTGGAGAATAAGCCACCACCTCCCCAGCATCGCGAACGGCCTCCTTGGGGCTTGCCGCGTAAGCTCCCTGCCCCAATTGAACAAGACGAGCAGATCATCAGGCTTTCATTGGAAATGAGCTGAATTGTTTTGGGGGCAAGAAGCGGTCGCTCTTTTGACAATGATGACAGCACCTGAAAAAAAAGCAACTTCTGATCTAGAAGTACACTCTGAAGCCCCTTCAACCAAGAAACCATACCATGTTCAGACGGGCAAAGTGCAGTATCTCCTGCGCCTCCTCCATGCTGGCCGCCTTCCACTCCTCCCCGCGGCTGTCGGCAGTGCCGCTGCGGCACAGCCGCGACCCGCACCAGCCCGCGCACCATGCCCCCAGCACGTACGGCAGCAGGGGGCACATCCGAGCAGGTGGCGCAAAGGTAGGGGGGTCACAAGCGCATCGCAGCCCAGCGGCCAAACAAAGCGCGTTTTCCTATCAACAGAAGAGGTCCTCTCAGCTGAAGCTAGTCCAACTTCAACTCAAGAGTCAAAGCAATGCGCCCTCACCTGACCAGCATTGCCCAGGCCGCTACAAGGGAAGAAAGCAATGGGAAGATACGCTTTCATCGACATTGTTCTGAAAAGTTGCTGAAAGCACCTGCCAAGAACATTCCGGGCTCAAAACCCTAAAATAGAACTTGAGTTGAGGTACTTGGGAACCCTAAATAAACTTTCGGCACAGCTCCTGTTTACGTTTGCAAATGCTTCTGAAGTGTATGCCTCCACGAGGCGCTCATCATGCTTGCAGGTCTCATTCTGCCCCTGAGCCAGTGGGCATCTGTGATTTGAGAAGACTGCCTCGCAGCAGCGATGGCGGCAATTCATCTGTTAAGGGCCGCGGCGCGGCAGCTGCTCAATGCAAAGCGGCTGCCACCCTGGAAACCCTTGGCGCCTGCCTCATCAAATGCCACCACTACTTTCAAAACACTCTTTGATTATGGTCCCCATGCAACGGCGCGAGCCCGCTTCTCCCAGCTTGTGTTTGGCAGATCTTACTCGAGCGTTGCAGCTGCGGTCCCGGAAGCAGATGACCAGTCGGGCAGCGAAAGCGCCAGCGTGCGGGGGCCGGAGGGCATCCGGTGCTTTGCAATCATCGCGCACGTCGACCATGGCAAGACGACGCTGCTGGACCAGCTGCTGAAGCAGGTCGGGGACTCACTGACCACGGAGCGCGTTATGGACAGCATGTCGCTGGAGAAGGAGCGAGGGATCACCATTGCCGCCAAGGTGAGCGCGAGCCGCTGGCCCAAATAAGCTGTTCGCCTGTGATAGGGATTAAGTGGCCAGCAATGCTGTGTCTAGTAGTGGCTTGCGTCGCCGTTCTGCTTGGCACACCCTGCATCGCCACCTTTCACAATTACTCATCAAGTAACTACTAAGGAGGGCCGCTTGGCTTTTCTGTGCGATGGATGGGTGGTGCAAAGTGATTTGCCCTCTCTGGCAGTCATGGCTGGCCTACAAGAAATATGCGAGACATGTGCAATAGATCGGGGAACAAGAGCTCAATTAGATAAGTATCCCTGAAGCAGCCCTGGCGCCCACCCTCTTTCAGATTCCAGACGTTTTTATCCGCGGGAAATGGTCTACTGGACGTGGCAATTTGCCCAGGTTCAAAGGGTCTCCCAACAGTAGTTTCTGCTGGACTTTGTTGTGTGGAAAACAATGCTGCGTAGAAGGATCCGTGCATCATGCGGGTATATGCAGTGAGCTAAGTGAAGTCGCTTTTCTGCATCTTCGTGACTACTACTACCCGAGTCCTGTACGTCTGTCATGGCGTTTGAATCTTCTGTGCATTACAGCAAGGTATCTCTGCTTGCAGTACACATCTCTTCCGTACAAGGGCTACACACTGAACGCTGTCGACACGCCTGGTGAGGCTTGATTATGTGTGACAGGTTTGAATGCACAATGAGTCGTTGTCCCTTCAATACAGCAATACAATCAGGCTATGCAAATGAACGAGAACCTGCAGGATGAGCAACTATCGTGGCTTCAGATCAGGGTGAGGCTGCCCACTCTCTGTCTCTCCTTCTGCTGACTGCTTCCCCACTTACAGATGTGCATTCTTCTTTCTTCAGTCCATGGCACGCTTATCACGTTACACCTATCTTCTCATGCTCATTGGCACTCTCGTGTTCACCGGCTTCCAAGCGGGGATCTAAAAGCTTTCCAAAGTGCCCTTTAACTGGCCCCCTTCCCCATGCCCACATAGCCTTTTCATAGTTAAATGATTCCTTATACCTTGCCCGCAGGCCACGCTGACTTTGGCGGTGAGGTGGAGCGCGTGCTGGACATGGTGGACGGCGCGGTCCTGCTGGTGGACGCCACGGAGGGGCCCCTTGCGCAGACCAAGTTTGTGCTCTCCAAGGCGCTGCGCCGCGGCCTGCGGCCCCTCGTGCTCTTCAACAAGGTCGACCGCCCCACCGTTACTGCGCAGGTCAGGCCAGGCCGACACGAACTCTAGTAAAAGCGCTGCAATGATTGCTTGGATTCGGGTAATCTGAGATCCGAACGAAGGGCTGTCAAGGAAAGGCGGGCCATAGTCAGCCGTTACGGGCTGAGTACCCACTCCCGCTGCATCAGTTGCTTCCAAAAGCGCTACTTCTTTGTAAGTGGCTCTGCAATAATTGCATTGACGTTTGCCTGTTTATGGGCGGGATCGTACGCCCAATTTGAATCATTCTCTTTGCGCGCCTCACTTCCGCCGCCCCTAGTTTCCATGACGCCTCCCTGACGGTGCGCATTTGCATGTCACAGCGGTGCAGCGAGGTGGAGAGCGAGCTATTCGATCTGTTTGCGCTGCTGGGCGCCACGGACGAACAGCTGGACTTCCCGGTGCTGTACGCGTCTGCCAAGGAGGGCTGGGTCACCGCGCGCCTGCCGTCCGCCGCCGACCCGCTGCGCCCCGAGGAGCGCGTCATGGACCCGCTGCTGGACAGCATCCTGCAAAACGTGCCCCCACCGGCAGGGGACCCGGGGGGGCCCTTCAAGATGCTGGTGAGGGTCGAGAGTCGGAAGGGCGGAGAAATGGAACAGTATGGGAAACTCTATGCAGAAGAGAGATTCTTCGTTACTTCGTTCAGACAATCACGGGCATTCTTCTGAGACGCTCGATTGATTGTCAGGATGAGCCGGAAACGTTGTAACCCTCTTGTTACAGAAGTAGCATCCTCGAAACTTTTTGCCTTCTGGTCTCTGATAAACCTTGCTGGCCGGTCGAGAGTAATCTTCTTGGGCGCTCCTTCATCTACGGGCAGCGTCCCTGGTATGCGATGCGTAGAAACCAACTCCTTGCCGACTTCAATATCTTGTGACGCAGGTGAGCATGACGGAACGGGATCCCTTCCTAGGCCGCATTCTGACCGGCCGGATTGCCTCGGGCCGCGTGCGTGTGAACGACCGTGTTCATGCGCTGGCGCTCAAGGGCGACGGCAGCCCACACGACGACGGGCGCGTCACCAAGATCCTGAAGCGCCTGGGGGGGCTCGGGCGGGTCACCATGACGGAAGCAGGCGCGGGGGATATTGTCAGCATAGCGGGGCTGGAGCGAGCCGGGGTCACGGACACAGTTGCGGCGGTAGAGGTTAACGAAGCATTGCCAGCGACGCCGATTGACGTGCCGACAATTAAGATGGTGATGGGGGTGAATGACTCCCCGTTGGGTGGCCGGGACGGGACACACGTGACGGGGAGTAAGATTGGAGAGCGGCTGATGTCGGAGGCGGAGAACAACGTGAGTATCGTGGTGAGCGCGATCGAGGGCGGCGCGGAGTCGTACGAGGTGCAGGGCCGCGGGGAGCTGCAGCTGGGGGTGCTCATCGAGACCATGCGCCGGGAGGGCTTCGAAATGTCCATCTCACCACCCGCAGGTAAGCGCTGCGAACGGACGTTTTACTGGGCCGTGAGCTCGTGACTGCGCGCCGTCCTTTGTAAGGCCTTCCTTCGTGTTACTTGCAGCGGCGTGCAGTTGGGGTCCCATCGCAAGTGCTGACGCCTGCCTTTTTGCACGTTCCGCCGGCTCAGTTCAGAATATTTTGGCATTACCTCCGCTGCTTCCCTTTCGTGAGCACTCAGTTGAATGGTTCACGATGTCTGCTCGTAGCTTCACCTTTGCAAAGACCCGGTTGTCGGCCACTCTCACCGAGCAGAGCCGAACATTGCTCTCTTTCCTCTTCCGCTCACAATGTTTTTGGTGGCTGTTGCCCTGAGACCGTTGCCCTTTGCCCCGGCCTCTCACGTCCGCTGTTTGCGCGCGCGTGCAGTGCTGTTGCAGACGGGCGAGCGCGGCGAGAAGCTGGAGCCGATTGAGGAGGTGGTGGTGGAGGTGGACGTGCCGTACATGGGGATGGTCATCGAGGCGCTGACGCTGCGCAAGGGCGAGCTGGAGGAGATGCTGCCCGACGGCGCGGGGCCCGGCCGCGCGCGCCTCGTGTTCACGTGCCCCTCGCGCGGCCTGCTCGGCTACCGCTCCGTCTTCACCACCGACACGCACGGCACCGGCGTCATGCACCGCGCCTTCCGCGAGTGAGCGCATGCGGCCGGCATAGAGTTTTTGGGCGACGTTGCGATTGGACATGGCGTTTCACCGTAGACAGAGCGTGGGATTAGAGTGCGGCAGCTGCCGGCGGCCGGCCTCGAAAGCGCAAAGCCGAGACTACTTACCAGTTTCATTTCCTCTTCCGATCCTGGATACAGAGCAACCTGCACATTCTCTCAAGTGTTTGATGGCGAGACACTTCGATCCAAAGGAGAGAAGTGTGGAGAAGAGCTCTCGAGAGGCGGCGTCGCCGTTTTGGATCCTGCTCTGTTCCGCAGTCCTGACTTTCTGCTGCGGTGGGTGGCAGGTACGGCCCGTGGCGCGGCGGTCTGGACCGCGTGCGCAAGGGCGCGCTGGTGTCCATGGCGCAGGGGCCCTCTACCGCGCACGCGCTCGGCAGCCTCGAGAGCCGCGGCGTGCTCTTCATCGCGCCGCAGGAAGACGTGAGTCCGAACACGCACCGCCCCTGGAACGCTTTTACATCCAATACTTGCGGATCAGAAGAAAGCGAGCACTTTGGCAGCAGGAGTGGCTGCGGAAGCGGGCTGCGATTGTCGTGGCCAAGTGCGTCGTCCTCGACTAGGCGGTCACGGCAAGCGCGCGCGCGTCCATGTGCTACCCCTGTTCGATTGATGCCAACGACCAAGGCAATATCTGAACCAACGCAAGCCGCATGGGGGTGAATTGGGTCCCAACTTCTGCTCCGTTTTTCCCACAGTGCTACGACGGTATGATCATTGGCGAGCACAGCCGCGGCGAGGACCTGGAGGTGAACCCGGTGCGCGCCAAGCAGCTGAGCAACATGCGCGCGAGCGGCACCGACGAGAAGGTACGCCTGCAGCCGCCGCGCGCCATGACGCTCGAGGAGGCCATCGGATACGTCGCGGCAGACGAGCTCATCGAGGTGAGACAGACGCGTGCCGGGGGAACGGGGCCGGCCCCTCTTGTGTTCGTACCTCTCGTGCTTAAATCGAATTCTGCTGTGGAGATTGAGATGGTTTCGGACCTTGTCTGTTTCGAAACGGCAGGTAGTCTGGGATGTGCCAAAAAAAACGCCACGAAGTAAGGCGTGCCACGTAGCCACGTGGCAGGGCTCCTTAGATCCGGTATGCAAATCTGGGTAACGTTTGTGCAGCAATAATTGGATGAATCGTGCGGGTCTCGAAGCAGGTTCTGTCTGCTTTCAGTTGTCGTTCAACAAAGACGGGTCACTGCCAGGGATGCTTGGGCTCGCTTGGTCAATGTCGCGTGCTGTCGCTGGTGCCATTTCTAACTTATGATTCCTCGTCGGTGCAGGTTACACCGAAGTCAGTGCGATTACGGAAGAAGTATCTGAACTCAAGTCAGCGGAAAAACAGCAAACGAAGGGAATCGAGTTGAGTGTGTTCGATGGTCAAATTAAGCTCGATAGAGGTTTCTTTTGCACGGTCGCGTGCCATTCTTTTGTTGCAGCAAAGTGTACAATATTGCAGAAGCATTGGGAGAATTGCATTACGGGCAGACGCCGGTTCGATAACAAGGTGCCGCAGGAGCTTCTTGAAGCGCTACCACTTACGCCCGCCGTCTATGGACGGTATGTGGCCCACCGAATCCGACACATCCGGTAAAGGAGCGATATTGGGGCTACAGGTCCGGAATTTCAATAATCGGCTTGAAGTCGGGCCGTGGGCCGTGGATAATCAAAAATCCTATATAAACCTTTGACTTTGTCAACTTCACCCGCATGACTCGAAAGTCAGGGTGTACGCATAATATGATGTTCAGAGTTGGAGTGACGGTCACTGAATCATTCGGATCCACTTTGAAGTTAACACAATTCTAGCGCACCATGGCTGCGGCGGCGCCACATCTGACCAAGCTGTCAAGTTAATATGAAGCTTAATCATTCTATGCATGGGCGGGAAGTACGTGTACAGGCTTTCCGTCCCGGTCCGCCTGAGCCTGGCCGGCGCGTGTTGGTGGCAGCAACTGAGTTGCGGCAATCCGATTCAACATATAGAGCTGCAGCGCACCCCCGCGTACACTGGTGATATTCTGAGTTCGATCTATAATTCAGTGCATTCATTGAAGGGTAAGCTGCCGGGTGCATGCAATCACTTATATACCACGTCTAACTCGATCAGTCCGATCAGACCGTCTGACCCGGCCGGCCAGGAATGGATGCATGGTTTCTGCAGTGCACCCTGTATATACGGTAGTAGGCTCTTAGTCCATTCAACGTCAGTCGGAAGATCATAGCGGGGCCCATGGGCTTACTGTCGGAGTGCTGCCAGGCTGTCATGTTGTAGTTTCGTGTTGGGCATGCACTTGAGAAGATCGAACGGATCTCCAAAACTCAAACGTACGATGTATGCCACAACGCGCCCAGCGACGGTACGTGGCCGGCCGCCCGGACCGACGCACTGCAATTCCAAAAACGTATGCTACCCGTCCAACAGGTATATCGACATATCAACATATATATATCGACGATCTGACAGACTTAGACCCATCCTCGGAAAGATTCAACTCGAAGTCATGTCGCTGTCGAACTGAGGAGCGTCTAATGCCCGCTCAAGAAACCCATGGCTGCGTAAACGAAACTTTGTCTGACCCTTGCAGAATTTTCCAAACTTAGTAAGTCCAAAATCTAGAGCGGCTTCTGTACATCTGTTGACCGTGGTCTTATGAGGACGAATCCATTGCCAGCACTTGAAAGGACCAGGGACTTCTGCTGTAGCGAAGCGTATAACTTTTGCAAGCTGGGCCTCATAAGCCAGTCTCTGTTGAAAGCATCATCTTTGCCGGTCGACCGTAAAAGATGCCTACTGCGGCGATCAAAAGGGTCGGTCTGGCCAGCTTCAACCATAACTTAAGGCAACACGTGTTCAAAACACAACATACTTTACGTCCTGAGAACTGCACTACTTCGGGTGTTCATCGGTAGAAATCTGCCTTCCGCTCGCAGGCGGGCGGCAGTGCGATTCATGTCCTTTAGCAGGACTGGCTGTTACAGTAGGTGGGCTTGGGCCGCCCCCCCGGGCACAGGTTCTGTTCGATGTCGTACCCGATGGCGAACAGGTCGCCCTCGTTGTAGGGGTACCCGTGCAGCGTGATGCCCTGCGGCAGGCCCACCGCGTTCACGCCCAAGCACGGCACCGTCAGCCCGGGGAACCTGCGGGAGAGGGGGGTGAGAATGGTAAGATCGTGACATACAGGGTATCTGCTAAGGCATACGTATGTCGTCAAATCTTTGGAGAACACTCTTCTCGAACTAAGCAACCCGAGAAAGGAGAAAGGACTGGAGACGAGGGTTCTATACATGAAAATGACAACCTACTTCGCTTGAAAAGGAAAAACGACGTGTCCTTGTAGGATCTTTGTCAAATGAATAATAGACGGAGGGGAAAGAGAGAGGCGACGACGCAGACGAAGCATGAAACGAAGACAAGCAAGGATGCTCTTGCAACCATTGTTAGCGGCAATACTAGTCTCGCAAAACTTGACGCTGCTTGTGGTGTAGAAGCGTTTGCCGCGGCGCTCACCCGATGCGCGCCCAAGTGCCAATAAGGTTTCCGTTGCTGGCGACGGCGTCGTAGCTGTTGCTCTTGAAGAAGTCGCTGATGCTCGCAGCGATGATGGAAGAGTTCTGCGCGCGCACAAGCCACAACCAGATGATTCTGACGATAGCCGGAAACTGCGACCGTTTATGAGCTTGCAATCCACCAAAGCAACTCCGGGTGATTAAGGGCGGAGCAGACGTCTTTAGCGGTGCTCGTATCCCTCAAGCATCATCCAGAGACTTCGCGACAGTTCAATAGCTTTTCGCGTTGCTCAGGACAGAAGTCTTCATTGCTGACGAAAGCTTCGGGTCTCGCGCGCGCACCGTCCTTGCGCTGAGGTAGGCGGCGTCCCGCTTGTCCCCGGTGGCCTGGCTGGCCTCCCAGCTCTGCTGGTACATGTTGGCGTACGCAGGGTCGCCGCGGCAGCACACGCCGCCCTGGAACTCCAGCTCGTAGTTCTGCAAGCAACAAGGAACAAAACAGAGGGCCCTCACTTCGTATAGATCTGAGAGCTGCTGACGCGAGCACGCTCAAATGAGCACGTGGTCTGCATCGAGGATGAATTGATGGGGAAAAAGAGATAGAATTCTGTTAGGTGAGTAAGCTGCGGTTTGGCCAGAAATTTCGAGCGGCCGTACCTTTTTGTTGTACTCAATCATGTCCGCGAGGCTCTTCTGCACCGTGTACCCGGCCTTCCACGTGAGCTCTGCAACAACAAAGGGCAACGGCTGCGGGTGAAGGAGCATGAAACTTCGAAAAATTCTCGTTAATTCAGCAGAGCTTGAGCATTGCGTAGTGGGAGCGCAGATTGAAAGCGAGTTTTCGCAAGTATAAACGTTTCGACGTGGGCCAGAGCGGTACCCTTGCGCACTTTCACCATCCATGAGGGAGATCCTGCCTTAACGAGAATCACATCACTACCATTCAGCAACTGTTGGAGAATGCGGGGCCTCACGCGAAAGGTAGAGGTTGATGTCGACCTTGAAGTCGCCGTTGAACAGGTTGCCGCCCAGGGTCAGGAACGCGAAGTTGGACGGTAAAACGTCTACAGTGGCGCCGCGAGACCTACACAGATAATACATTCAACATTGACTGCATGGAGCACGATTTCTGCCTTTCTCGACAAGAAGCAGAAGGGACCACGTCACTCCCGTGATAGATCCGCATGAAGAGAAAGCTTTGCAAAAGCGCGAAACTTGAGAATGCCCCATTTTCACCTTGTCTTAACCAATATCAGCTTTCATTCTTTGTGGAAGAAGTACTGCCTCGAAAAGAGTACTGCCTCTGCTTTTCAAAGCAGAGATACTCCGACAACAGGATTGAAGGGCTTATCGGCCTGGTACAGTTCCAGGTAGTCATTCTCCTCCAAACGCGCGGCCTGAGACTAGCAGGACCAAATTGACACGAGTACGAGATGCTGACCTGAGCAAGTCTGGCAGCGCGGCATATGCCGCAACAGCGGGTCCAGTGGTGGTGGCGGGCAGCGGGACGACCGCGATCTTCTTGCCTGCACACGCAGCGTTCCCGAATGACGGAACCGTTCAGCAGAATGGGGAAAGCTGTCGTAAGCACATAAGTAAGCTCGCATGTCCTTTATTAGCTACAAGGGCTTGATAGGAAGGGAGATCAGCGTCCATACGACGCTCTCGAGAAGATTTTTGCAAGGTCGAACGAGATTACGACATTTGGAAGCGGCAGATTCGTGCTGTAGACCCGAGGAAGTAAAGGAACATCCTTGTCAGCGCGGAAGGCGTTCCGTGCGCGCGCTTACCCGCGAGGCCGTCCTTTTTGAGGTACGGCAGGTAGCCCCCCGCGGGGCGCGTGTAGGGCGGCAGCCAGGGCGTGGCCCCCGAGTGGATGGGGTCCGCCAGGTCATCGTACGCCATCGCGTCGAACATGTACAGGCAGTCCGCCACGTAGCGGCACATGGGCCTGCCACAAAGACACGAGGGGGCAAGTCGGCTGCATCGACTGACTTCGAGTTAGACAGTGGGAACGCATGTTCGAAAATACTGCTTGGGGGGAATTAATGGAGGAGGCAGTTGGGGTTCATCAGGTTGTACCAGACTGGTTGTCAACCTCCTGCTTTGACGTGACTCGCTTGCGAGATCTAGAGCAACTCGAAAGGTTCTGAACAGCATAACCGAAAGCAAGTTCAGAACCGACGTACGCGTGAGGTATCCAAAGACAACCATCTCATGAGAAATTGATGTTGTCAACAAGCAGCGAAGACTTCGTCGAGTGGCAGCTGCACAAGAGCACACTTTTGCTGTGCACAGTCTGCAGGATTCTGGACGAGTAGCGCGCGCGCACCCTGCGGTGTCCTGCGTGGCCCCGAGCGGGACGATGCCGTTGCGGCTCATGACGCCCACAGTAGGACGGAAGCCGACGATGCCGTTGTTGCGGGCGGGCAGCAGCACGGACCCGCCAGTCTCGCTGCCGACCGTCACGGCGACCTGGAGAAAGAGGCAGATTTGGGCTAGGCGCTGATACTGGGCCGCTCTCCTGCATGCCGATGTTCGTCTTCTTTGAACCGCTTTGAACGCAATCGAAGGCGGCTCGTTCACTTGTAACGCCTCTCCTCTCGCAATTCAGGGATCGGAGCTTCTTGTTTCAATCGCTTGGCAACACAGACGAGTGTGGTATTTCACAAAGGTGAGGAGTTATGCAGCTTTCGAAATTATCTGATCGAACAAGGTAAGGACTGAAAAGCTTACAAGCCCTCCAGCCAACTCTCAAGCAGATTGACGACAGGGCTGGCGGTTTCTCTTTCGGTAAGACGTACACGTATGCGTCGTATGAGGAAGGGTTCCAATCCGACAAGTACGGAAAGCTCGGAACATTGTTTTCGGGCAAACACCTACTCAAACGAAAAGGCCTTCAAACTGCGGACGAATCCAGTTCACCGCCGTTCAGTGTGAGAGGGATCCCCCGACTTTTCGCATCTTGTGCTCACCATGTTGGTGGCCGTTCCGGCTCCTGATCCGCCGGAGCTGCCGGACACGATGGTGGGGCTGTTGACGGCGGTGAAGACGGAGCCAGCGGGAATGGCGCTCGGGACCTCCGGGTACGGACTGACGCGCGCAGTGATGTTTACGGGCTGGTACCGCACATACGGGTCCTGGCAGCAGCGAGGGTGAGGCAGGCTGATACGACATCGAGCGTACAGCGGACGGATACAAGTCGTATTACAGAATGTAAAACAGGGGAAAGAAGGTATGCTGCATTCGATAGACGAAAATGGAGTGTGTCGCGTGGATCTGGTCGAGGCCTTGCATCAATACAGGCTGACGTCAAAGCAAGGCAGAAGGGAGACTCAGGAAGGGAGAAAGTTAGGACTGGGGATGTACCCAAACAGGATCTGTACGAAACACTTGGCACACCGACTCAACATCACCAAATTTGTATTTGGGCCTTATCGACTTACGTAGACTTGTCCTCCGCGACCGGACCAGCCCGAGACGACGGCATTGGGTTCCACCCCCGCGCGGAAGAAGGCCCACTCGGAGAGGCCCATCTTGGCCATGATGATGCCGCCCGCCGCAATCAACAGGTCCACGATGGGCGCCTGCTTATGATACGACCCCAGCAGGTTCCAGGACCCGGCGGTGGCGTTCATGCCGTCCGAGTTGATGTTGTCCTTGAGCCCGATGGGCACGCCGTGCAGCTTGCTCAGCGCACACTCCGGCAGGCACGCCATGCGCTCCTGGTCGCGGGCCTCGGCGATGGCCAGCACGTCGGGGTCGATCTCCAGCACGCTGTTGATGGCGTACGGCGCCTGGGGAGGAGGAAGAACAACAACGTGTCAATCAATTGATCACTGTGCATAACCGTGTGCCTACTTCAAGGCAAGAAGCATGCTGCAGACCTGATATAGACCTCTTATAGGAAGGAAGAGCGAAGTGGTGCCCAATGTTTGACGATCGGCCGAAAAGGTCTACGGCTTTGCATTTATTGAATGCTTCGAAACGAGAGGGACTGGCCTGTTCCACCCTCTGAGGACCTGAGGATTACTGTTTGCAGGACCTTAGAGGCGCCAATGAAAGACGGATGGCATGAAAAGCGTGCTGGCTTAGATCTAGATTGGCTTGTTTTCAACCTTGTCCTGACAGCCTTGACTAGATATTTCCAGCATTGCATAACCCTCTTACAGACAGCAGAACCTTAGTGCTTCGAAAACTTCTGTGCATATGCAGTACTGCATTTCCATGTTGACAGGACCTCAAGATGATAATTCAAAATATCTGAAAAAGAAGTCATTACTTTGGCACTTGGCAAAATATTCCTTCCCGCTGCTTCCAGCTGACTTCCCCTCACCATTCCTGCAAATGTGGCAATGCTGTCGTAGTCGGCAATCCTCTTGAGGTAGCACTCCACGAGCGCGCGCGACGTGAGCTGCCCGGACATGAACAGCTCCTGGATGGTGTCCAGCCCAATCTCGATGATGGCGCCACACCCGAAGTTGGACGGCTGGCTGGGGAAGGAGCCGTCGGGGCTCTGCTTGTAGCATGCGTAGCCGCTGCCGGGGAAGCAGGAGTAGCCTGCCGGGCAGCAGTAGGGCGTGGCGGTGCCGGGGATGGTGCACGTGGTGGGGTACATGGCGCTGGCGCAGAAGCCAGACGAGGGGGCGGGGATGCCAATGGGGGCGGTGCCTGGGGGGGAGGTGTAGAAAGGAGGGGTGTTGATCAGGGCCATTCGGTAAGATGGAAAATGTCACACTGATCCGATCAGGCGGGCTGACTGCAAGTACTGGTGGCTTGAAGTCTGGAAGTCAGTTCATGAAGGTCCAGATGAGACCGCTACATAAACGGAAGGAAAAGATGCGCTCTGACCAAAACTCTAGCGCATCAATGAAATTTTCCTACCGTGTTCTTGAAATGGTGTGTATGACTATCAAGCCACTGGCCGTCTCCACTTAATGTGGGCCACAGAAGTTTATGTCAGGTTCTACATAGCATTGGTTGCTTCCAGCTTCAATGTCATCCTCATACGGCTCTCACCAGCATTGTCTCCAGATGGACCAGATCACCTGCTTTGCATGCTTGTGGCACACAATCTGGTTACTCCCGTGCTGTTTTCAGTTGTGGGCTGACTCTCACCATCTGTGGAAGGTGGCACACTGGCGGCTGTCTGCAGCAGCTTGCGCACGGGGTCCTGCCTGCCGCGCAGCTGCTCTGCCACCTGCAGGGGCAGCCGTGACGACGCACACACCGCCTGCACCAGCAGGGCCACCACTGCATCGACGCAAGAAACAAGCAGGAGGTCAGGTGCTCGCTCGCTTCCGACGGTTGACAAGAGGTTGAAGAGATCTACATTCTTGTCAACATCACTTAACAGCAATAGGATTTTCGCCAAAATAGAGGAATGGTCTGCAGCTCACCTGTGAGGCGCCAGAGCACCGACCTGGCTGCAATGCCTGGACCCATGGGCGCCGCAATAAGCTCGGAGGCTGCTGCCACAGAAAATTGGCGAATGCCCCTCACGAGAAGAGGCTGTGACCACGCAAGAAAATGCTCGTAGGGGCGATAAAGTTGACGATCCAGGGGTTTGAAGTTGTGGGCTGCATTAGCTGGGGGCTTTAAGTTTGATTGAAAGGCGACAAGCTGCTGGGAGACAGTAATCTACCTCCGGTTCCATCAGTACATTCCTTTGTCCGACTTCCCAGCTGCCGTGATGACCCTTTGGCCCCAGGCTGGCAGGCTGTCATTGGCAAGTGCGGCCTTGAGTCTGGGTTGAACTCACCGTTTCATGATGCCATTTTGGCGCAGGATTCCGTCCTCGGCCACTCTGAGTCTGTGGACTTTGGAGGCCGCAGTGGAGCAGAGCTGCAGCCCAGCTAGAGCCCTTTCGCTGGAGCACCGTGCTTTGCACGAGCCAGTCAGTGCGGTGATTGGTGGGGGGAGCGCTGCAGAGCGCCGCATCCCGTTTCCAGGCTTGAAGTTACCACGTAAGGCTCGAGGTACCTAGGTACTACCGGTAGGTACTGGTGTGTACCATGCGAGAGTCAGTGAGACTACGGTATACGAAGAACTAGCAAGTACCTATGGTACCCATGTGGTACACTGCGATGCAGCAGGTCGGGTTGTCTGACGACATTTGAACCACATGTTTCACATGTATACCAAAAAATTCCTATACGGGGGGACTTGTTGATATCAAAAAATTGCCCCCCCGAAGACGAGGGGCATCTGAAAGCATCTTCTTCGATGTCGTCAGTCATTACTGCAGGCGATATTTGCAGCCGCCAATCATTCAACATACTCGATGAGGTTCGTAGAACACCATGACCGTTCGATGCGTTACTAAGACGATCGGACGGGAAAATGGCAGAAGTCGGTCCAAGGCGCGCGCGTGAAGGATGGGGGTTCCGTTACCAAATTGGGCAACAAAAATAAGGATCAGCAGTACATACCGGCAACGTCCTCGTCAACTTCGTCACGATTGGACTCTTTGCTGATGACAATGTTCAGAATGCCAGGCAGCGCCCCTACGATAAGAAACGTGAGTCTGTTCAACCACCCTCCTTTCCTCACTGCTCAGGCTGCTTTCGGTACAGCATTTCTGAATAGGTATCTGAATATCCTATACGCACCATATCTGCAGTACCTGTGGTCAGTCAAATCAACGTCAGCTAAAGCGACCTGCCAGTGGTCAAGGTCGGTGGTCGAATCACCTAAGGCTCGGCAATATGCAGCTGATATGACTGATAGCACTTAGTAGGAAGACGCGCGCACAATGTTTCCAAACTCCTCGCGGCGGACCAAAAAGCTGGAATGAGTCCAGGTCCTGACGTCAGGAGAATGGCCCAGGGCCCAGCAGGGCCAGACTCTATTGTGATAGTAAAATACGTTCATGGGATAGCTCGCCGGAGGATTGCAGTCAGCATGCAGGTTGTATGCCCCCTGTACGCGCTGGAAGCGTGATATTTGAGACACGTTTTCTGTCAGAACTAGCTCCTTAAAGCCAGAGGGCGATGACTGCGAATCGCTGGGAAACACGGAACATCGTCAAATAAAGCCGGCCCAGTTTCCGGTTCCCGTATCCATTGGCCAATTTTAAACTTCAACGCTGCAAATCACTGACTCACTTGACTCTCTGAAGAGCAGCTATGCTGGCCTAGTACTAGCGGCGCCCGCATCTGAACTTCGGAAGGACTCTTTGCAAAGAAACCTTCCTCATCTAATTGTAAGGAAGCACTGGCTTGCCGGGCCGCCTTGGACGGCGCCGTCGGTCACTGGCAAGGTCTTGCTTCCTGTGGGTGCTCGCCAAACGAGCGAACGCATGAAACGCAATGGACCGCACAGCATTCAACACTCAGCAGGTCAATTTTCTGAAGGAGATATACTCTAAGGAAGAAAAGTGAGCCCTCGTTCGTATCATTCTGGTGCCCGAGCCCCAAGGAGGGGGACTCGTCATCCTGCGTGCCTTGAATCCAGCTGCATCAGTACATTGAGAAACAGTTTAGATTTCCAAGTAAACAGTAGGCCAGATCTTTGCTGCACGACGCAGACAGCCTATTCAGCAAAGCCCTTCAACTGTGAAATTGCAAACTACTATACGTGCTGGACTAGGTTGGGCAGAGGTCAATCATTCAAATCTCAGTTCTCGATTGCACGACAGGAAGCTCCCCCGTGTGATTCTTCTTGTCACGCTCATTTCTGACTAGTTTCCCGCTGCTGTTGCTGTGTTGCAGGTACCGCAATGAGTTTCTGGACAAAGTAGATGCCGCAGAGCGTGCTGCAGGGGGGGGCACCGCCGACTTCGAGGACGATCTGGAGGAGACCCCCCACACAGGAAGAGGGGGGGCAGCTACCAGTGTGAGCAGCCAAAGCCGGCGGGGGTGTGAGCCCAGGTCAGCAGAGGAGGCCATCCAGGGGGAGATCTCTAAGGTGCGCGGCCAAGCTGGGCCGCAACGCGCAGCAGGGCTCTACATGCTCAGACGAAGCATAACAGGGACATCAGAGAAGACCTGCTTGTAGATACTGCCGTACCAAGCATAAAACCCTAAGCTCACAGTCGTTTCCCTTTTTGGTCGGTCAGCAATTAAAGAGTTGAGCATCTTTCGAAAGGATGGAATGGCGAGCCACACCCCGCAGGATGTCGGAGTGAAACAAACAAAAGACTCATTGTTTTAAAAAGGAGCTCGCTTCCTCTCGGAAATCATTTTATTGATAGGCGCTCGCCCAAAAAGCGAAGAAGGAAAAAGAGTCTTTTTCAGCAAAGAGCCACTCGGCGCAGGGAATTGGAGCTAGTGTGAAACCTTCAGCGCCTTCAATTTTCCAGAAAGATTCGTTGTGTTTTATCTGCTAAAAATAAGTAGCGAAGAGAGCTCGCTGCGCTTAACAAGAGTTCAAATAGCAACCGTGTGAGAAGATCAAGCACTTTCACACTGCCGTTTTGTGCTTTTGCAGAACCTTTGGCGGCGTGTGAACCCCGGGTACGTGGAGCCGCGGCGGGACCAGATGGTGAGCACCGGCAAGACGGCCTTCGTGTATGAGCCCGACGAGGTGAGCACTTCCGGTCGACCACCGTCTGGTGAAAATGCGGCTGTGGCGTCACACTATCGTGCGGCTCTCTCTGACAGCAATTATGAGTGTAAGCTGACTCCGCTATGCCATTCCGGGCCCTTTTGAAATCCTTTTGAAATTCTCATTGCAACCAAGACGTGCTGGCGTCTCGCCTAGTGCTTGCGATCAGCCAAAAACGTGAGCTGCGGCAGGACCACACTCAGACAGCACGAGATCGATCTGCGGCGTGGCCCGTGTGCAGATCGAGCCTGTGTCGCGCGAGCACTTCCGCAAGCGCGACACGTTCACGCAGTACGTGGAGGCGTCCTCGCGCTACAAGCTGCTCATGAAGGCCAAGGGAGCCGACGCCGGGCCGCCCTCACCGCCCGCAGCAGCCCGCGCACCCGCCCAGCCGAAAGCGGCAGACAAGCCAGCAAGCGCGTAGCTAGCATGCTGCCCCTTCGTCTCACCTTAAGTCGTGTTGGTCATCTCAAATTCTGTATTCTCGACAGTTAAGTAACCCCATTTAGACCAGACCAAGGCAGTTCCGCCCGGCTAGCTGTCCACCGCCACGCAGGCTGAGTCGAGATCTCATACAAGCATGGCTCGTCGATGCTTCTTGCAACGGTTCTCACTCACGTGCTCTGCAGGCCTTGCCACATGAGCCTCGATAGTTTTGTCAAGTCAGGTTGACTTCTTTGTGCGGTTTGTATGACTCAGCTGTACAGCGATCGGATGATCACGTATGTGCAGATCACATTCAAAGACGGCTAGCTAGCCTAGGCGGCCGCCGCAATTGCGCCCGGCCGGCCTGGGGCACAGAGCGCTACTGTAGCCTGGATGGTGTACGTTTGAGATCAATGGTCCAACTTACAGCACCTAGAGCTGCCGACAACCAGTGCGCATACCGTACACAATGACGGTGTCATGATCGCTGTTCCTGATGGTGTATATACATCTTAAGCCATGAATGTAGAATTACCATGATACATGGAGCTGCCGCCGGGACTGAGTGAGACGTTGATCATATTCATGGCCATCATTGGTGCGCAATGAGAATGAATCACCTTCAAGAGCATGATTTGTGGAACGGATGACTTGATAACGTTTGATTGAAAGCTGCATATAAGCGACAGTGCACATGTGTGATCGACACATTAGGCTTTCATTTTCTTGAATCATCGATCCACTAGTACTGCACCATGATGGCCCTAGAATTTCGAACGGATATACTATAATTCGTGGCTACGGTAATGCATGTGCAACTTCGATCCAGCGCACGCGCGAGTGCTATCATTAGGTATATCCTAGTATAGTACCTAGTCAAGCAATATAGATTCATCATGCATGAGATGCATGTATGACCGATCGTCGATCTGACGGCATCATTCGTTTAAGGCATTTCCACCGGTACGGTAGCTGTGCTCTTGTTCTCCGAACTCGATTCAGAGTAAACTCTGCATGCAGCAAACCGTACATGCAGCCGGGTGCTCCTGAGCGCGGGATGTTCAGGCTGGCCGCCCGGAAAGCCACTGGCAACGTTGGATCGACAACAAACGTACACCAGCACGATGAGCTCCGCCGGGACTGCTTGTACCGAACACAGTGTCGGACGGCAAATCATCATTCGATTCAGAGTGAGTCAGGCTTCGAAGACGCTAATCTAACTTAGAAAAGGCTCGTGTTCATTTGATCGGAAAACCGTACAACTCTAATAGATTGGGGGCACGTTATTTGGCTTGATCAACATCGACTTGTTCCCACCAACTTTATTGTAGCTTTGTCTAGTTTAGTGAAGGTAAGTCATCTGGACCCCGTGACTGGTCTCCGTCCTTGATGCTGCAATCAACTACGGTAAAATAACAATCACAACGTAACCACTATTGTCAATTATAAGCTATGTATGCGAGCAGTAATGATGCATAAAGCAGATGCAACCCCCTCTACAAGGCGCCGTTATTTATGTTCCGACCTTTTTGAGTCCTACATATCCTACTTCTGCGCGTGCCCTTGTTCCGTTGTCCTCTACTGTTCCGCTCAGCCCTGCTTGAGATGGCGGTACAGCTGGAGGTAGTCCTGCGCGGAGCGGCTCCAGGACCAGTCCTGCCGCATCGCGCGCGGCACCAGCTGGCCGTGCCACCACTCCCCCGCGTCGCGGTACGCGTCGATGGCGCGCCGCAGCACCGTCTCCACGTCGGCCTCGGACTTGCCCGCGAACGTGAACCCGTTGCGCTCGTGCTCGGGGGCGCCGGAGTGCGCCACGTCGCGCACGGTGTCCGCCAAGCCACCCGTCTGGCGGCATACGGGGATGGTGCCGTACCTGCGCCCGAAACGAGGCGGTATCAAAGCAGAGCTTGAAGTAACGCGGGTTTTGCTAGAGCATTTCGACGACTACCAAGCGTGCACACATGGATAGTCTAAGTATGGCAGTTGGCGTATATTCGACATAATACCCCTCGCCACAGGCCAGGGGCGTCAATCGACGAGCGACAAGATGGAACATCCGGGAGAGTGCCACTCTTGACAGAGAGTCGCGCTTGCCGCAGCGTCTCTCCCCTGCCAGGCTGGCGTGAGCGCGCTGCCGCACTGACCTGAGCGCGATGAGCTGCGTGAGGCCGCACGGTTCGAAGAAGGAGGGGATCAGGATGGCGTCCGCGCCCGCGTAGATGCGGTGCGCGAGCGCCTCGTCGTAGCGCAGCACGAGCCGCCCCGCGGTGCCGCCCGCCAGCTCGGCGGCCCACCGCTCGAAGCCCTGCTGCACCGCGGACTCGGGTGCGCTGCCCAGCACGCAGAACTGCGCGCCCGCCTGCTGCGCGACGCGCAGGCCGTGCAGGATGAGCGGCAGCCCCTTCTGCTCCGTCAGCCGGGACACCACCTGCGGAGTAGCGGGGGGGCGCGCCATGAGCGCGAGCAGCAGGCAAGAAGGACATTCTTGTTGCTTCCAGAGGCCACGAAGAAAGGCCGCGGGGCAAAGATCCATCCTTTGTACTGAATTCTTTGATCGACTCGCAATACCTGGGGTGACACGTCCAGGATTTCTACAGCTCGGTCAAGGCAGCCGGAGTCGTCGAGGTCCTCTGAAACATCAGCTTTTGTAATGCATAAATACAACAAAGGGGGAACTGCGGACAAGATTGCTTACTGCAATGAGCGGCGTGTTAGGCTTTGCGGGCAGGCCCAGCTCGGCGAGCAGCGCGGCCTTGCAGACGGCCTTGCCCGCGGTGTCGGCGGCGGTGTAGTGCGCGGGGAGGGCGGCGTCGGTGGCGGGGTCCCACATGTCGGGGTCGATGCCGTTCAGGATGCCGCGGAACTTGCCCGCGTGCCGCCCCAGCACGCCCTGCAGGCCCATCCCAAACTCGGGCGCGAATACCTCGCGCGCATACGTCGGGGACACGGTGGTCACCGCGTCCGCGTACACGATGCCGCCCTTGAGCAGGTTGATGTCCGGCTGCGCGGCCGCGAAGCCCGGCCGCGTGTCGTCCAGCAGGCGCTCCGGGGTGTAGGCGCCCGCGCGGGGCAGGCCCATCAGGTCCAGGTAGTTGGGGGTGAGCCACCCCTGGAACGCGATGTTGTGAATCTGGGCACCCAACAGTAGAATGTCCCGTCAGAAGCAACGGAGAGAAATCTTGTGCCAACGTTCAGGTGGCATCTCGCTGTTTGGAAGAATCAAGAAAGGCTGAAACTCGGATTTTTCGCTAAAGGCAGACACATTCTGCAAAGGGGGCGGCTCCCAATCCGTAACCGGACCGACTAGTCGTCGAACGAGTGCCTCCTCTCTACTGAAATCAAGGTCCGATTTCACGAGAAGGTCCTCGGTGAGATTCACGTACACAATTAGAGCCTTCTTCGCTCAGATCAGCAATCAACCTTGAAAGCCCCTGGATTTTACAGCCCGTTCGATGCAGAAGTTCTGGTGTGGATACCCTCGGGAGATTGTTAACCTTCAGTTGACATGAGCATTCTCACTGAATCTGGGGAACTTGGGGAAAAGAAGTTTAGCCCCAATACATAAAGCGCCCAGGTGATTACCGCTGTGCAGGCCCGCGCAACTCTGTCCTCCTGCGGGGATACCTTTTTTCGCTGCCTCACCGTGAGCACGACTCCGGGTCGCGTGAGGCCGCGCGCTCTGTACTGTTCCTTGAGCAGCGGCGCAACTGCGGCGGACTGCCAGTCGTGGATGTGCAGCGCGTCCGGCTGCTTGCCCTGCGTCTCCTCTTCCCACACCAGGAACTCGAGCGCTGCGCGCGCAAAGAACAGAAACCGCTCCGCGTCGTCCACCTCGCCTGCGCATCGGAGGGAAGAAACAGCATGGGCAGAGGGCCCGCAAGCTGGCCCGAAGAACGACTTACAGCGCAGACGTCTTCTGACGTGTACACCCAAGGGATACGTCCCGTCGGAGGCGGAGACTAAAGTCATGATCACTTATTGCCCAAGACGTTTACCACGAAGGAAAGATGGCAATGTGCATTTTGCTTAACCCGGGTCCGGAGTTCTCAAAGGCCAGTCAAGATGCATGTGCGACGAGCTGTGCGGGTGCGCTGACCGTAGAAGCGGCCGCGCCAGAAGAAGCGCTCGCGCGAGTAGGGCTCGACGAAGTAGACGGGGAGGCCCTCCGCGATGCCGGCCCACACGACCGTCTTGATGGTGCTGCCGCCCCACGGCACCTCCAGCTGCACCAGCTGCCGCAGCTCCGCCACGTCGGCGTAGCGGATGCAGTCGTACTTGGGCAGGATGATCTCCGCGAGCGTGCCCGCCGCCTGGTGCGCCTTGGCCAGGCTGACCACCACGTCGGCCAGGCCGCCCACCTTGGCCAGCGGCGCCATCTCGGACGCGATGTGCACCACGTGCAGCCCGGGGCGCCGCAGGAAGCCGCAGCGCGACTGCAGCTCCCCAACCACCTCCGAGTCCGCCTGCAACCGCACCTGCACAGGCAAGAAAGGGGGAAGAGGGGGGCAAGGGGGTTGAGACGAGGGAGGAAGGAAATTCGTATTGGTAGTTTTCTTCTTAGACGAGGGGATCCGCCTATTGTAGTTGGAAGTGTTTGTTGCAACAGCTTCTGAAGAATGTGAGGACAATTGCAGCTTCCAACATCTTTCAATGGGTTGCGGCTTACTGGACCTGTCCAGCCTCGGCACCCCGTCTGGCGCACTTTGTAACGCCAGTCGCGAGTCTAAGCAACCTGGACACTGGTTCAAGGTTGGTGACACACGCAGCAATCTATCTTCAGGGGAAGTTGTTCTGCTCTGCGCAAGGAAAGGCCTGCTCTGCTCAGATTGAAATAGTCATTTAAGTGCTGAAGGATGTCTACAGACTGCTTCTCCTGTTGGATTGCATAACCACAGGCTTTTTTCCAAGAATCATTGCAGCTCCTCTGCAAATACGTACATCTGTCTTTCATTTCAAACAATCCAGTCAAAATCTTTCGGTGAAAGCTGGACAAGGCCGATCCAAAAGCTCCCCACAAGACAGTGTTACTGCAGACTGCATTAACCTGGCCACAACCGCCACTGCTACACTGTAGCGCTGCACCAAAACTTCCAGTCAGCCGCGCTGCACGAAGCTGCTGGGTACAAATTACCAATTTCACTGGTCTTCACTCCCCAGATTCAGGTGCCCGGTTGAAGACTCTGCCAGATCTAATTTGATAGCTGCTCCCGACATTTGTGACGAGCACGCACAATCCAGAGTCTGACCGGGGACGGTCCGCAGAAGCAAGCGATATTATTTGTTTCCCCAGAGCCTCACCTTTTTGTATGCTTTCAAGAGCTCAAAGTCACGCTGCCACGCAAGCGTCCGCAGGAGAGACCCCTGCTCCGGCGTCAACAAGCTCTGCGCAGCCAAAGCTGCAAAGCCCAAAGATAGCCGGTTGAGACCTCTCAACAACATGGTTTCAAGATTCATCTGGAGACAACCAGAAAGCTGCTTTAGTTCTGATGAGCTGACAAATGGGACTGCGAGCAGGCGGCATGTCAAGACAAGACATCAAAAAGCCTTAATGTGTAGGTGTGCCCACCTTCGATACGGAGGAGCAGGCTGGAGACGAGGTCGCGTGGGGGTGGCTCAGGACGCACTGCGAGGAGGCCCTCCCCTGGCGCCAGCTCGATGGCCAGGCTCCAGTTGGCGCCGCCGTTGTTGTCCCAGCGCTCCTCGTCTGCCACCACGCCCTTGAACGCCAGCTGCACCTCCAGGTGCGCCAAGCTGGACAGCGCAGCCAGCGTCACCAAGTACACCCCACGCCACGCCTGCAAGGCACACCCACAGCGTTGACGTAAACTGAGGTGGACATGAGGCAGCGTGCGCGGAATTGCTCAGCTGCTTGTAGAAGTGACAAAAGCACTGATCAGATCCAGGCATGCAACTTGGTCTGCGTTGCAAACAGTGCAAAGAGGGTTCCCGATACTCTGCCCCACAGCGCAGCCAGTACGCATGCGGCGCACCTGAGGCCCTGCACTCTGGAGCTCCACATCCAGGGTGTCCTTCCAGCCGCTGTGGCCAACGTGCGACCAGACACGCTGCGCACCCTGGAGGCTGCGGTTCTGGCCCTCGTACAGGATGTGCACCATGTACAGGGGGGGCGCTACCGACACGGACAAATAAGGGGCCGCAGCGATGTGCACAGTGCCAGGGGCAGACACCGCAGGGGCCACCACAGGCAGCTCCTGCGCAGAAGAGCAGCCGGGGACATTAGATCTATTAGCACTGGAGCTGAGGTAACCAAAAAGAGCTTCACAGATGTAGCAGCGAAATGAGTCGTTGTCCATCTGTTTCTTACGTTACACAGATCAAGCGCTCTTCCCATACAGTCTATAAATCCTTCCTGATTGTCTTTCTGCTTCAGTTGGCAGCTTTCTGTTGTCAACACATGGATCTAAGCGTCATCATCAAGAGTAGGACCAGAGGAATTGCCAGAGCAACCAGAGCGAAGCTTCTGATTGATTTGATGACAGATAGCCATCAGGAATAAGCTCACCGGCACACGGGTCGACGGCAGATTCTGCTGTGGTCGGCACACCTCCTGTAACAAGGAAGCAGATGGTATCGTGCTGGCAGCCCGCAACCGATTGTGCATCTCACCACCAATTCCCCATGGTGGTGCGCTTGCGCGCTTCCTGATCTTTCCAGCAATGAGATCTCCATGTGTCTTCTGTCCACATAGCGTCCCTTGTTGACTCCTCCGATGCGATCGGTGGCCAAGTAGATGGTCTGGATAGTGACACCACAGCTGGTAGGTGCTCCCAAGGACTTGTGCACAGCCGAGCGACATCGTGGGTGCAATTGTCGACGTTCACTGCTCAGCTGAACCTTATGGCAGCTTCCGTTCAACCATGCTTCTTCCAGCTCAAAGCATCAAGCTCCCTTCGACCAGTATAGCAGTTCAGGAAATCAAGAACACAGTGATCGACCTTGTAGGAGTGCTCCCTCGCCGGGCCTCGCCCATTCTTGTCCTTCCAGGTCGAAACGGCGTTCAGATCTGAGATCTGCGGTGGTGCTATGCTATGCGATCTGATGATTCTGATCATGTACCTATGCGTCCATGATCCCACGGGCAATTTTTGAAGTACCTACAATTGATTAGGGTACCTACCAGATGCACGGACATGGACGGTACCTACTACCGTAGTACTACCGTAGTAACGTACACCGACTCGGATGCAGCCTAAGTGACAATTGGCGCGCGGGATCCCGTGGTAATGCTTCAGTGTGACTCTGTACCATTATCACTATCAGCAGCGGTGCGCGCGCAGTGGTGCTGTTTACTGGCATCGAACGGCTGCAGGAATTGCCAGAATTTTGATTGACGGTCATATGCAGCTGGGGCGAAACTTCTGATAACAAGAAGCAGTTGTAATATGCATGGCGGTACGTGTGTTGCCTCGATCCGACTCGAGGCTCATGAGCGGGGCATGAGCGCACACAGCCGGGCAGGATGCGCACAACGGCTGGCGCCTCTCTATTCTGATTCCAATTGCAACATGAATGAGGGAGCCAGGCTGGGACTACACAGGCTGGGCCATACAATGTAGGTAGCCTGGTGCTTCAGGACTACAGCTTCTCCCGAGCAACCTGCTAGTTTTAGTGTCATCTAATTTAGACTAATTTCACTCACAAACAGACTGACTAAGTTATACTAATATTTTCACTAAAACTAGCAGGTTGCTCGGAACTAGCTGTACGTCCGGTATGCCAAAGAATATGATAGACCGCGAGTACCAACATTGGAGCTTTTGTAGGCTTGAAATTTGGTGCTCGGGGCCCGGGGATGTTAGAGTACACGAAGTAATCATCAAGGTGCCACTGAAGTCTGTGTTCAAGTTGTTCCCATTGAATGCCTGGATTCCCTTCAATGCGGTATAAGCACTGTGGCACCCAGGCAGCTTGTTATTCACTTGCCTGTCAGGCTGATTTGTGGAGCAATGCTGAGGGAACATTGACTTCTTCCGACGTAATGAGAAGGCCCTGCTCGACCTTGCAGCAGAAGCGTGTCAGATTGAAGGCTGTCAGTCCAGTACTACAGAAGGGAGTCAATCGGGAGTGAAGACGTGCAGATTTTAGGGTTTATCAATCAGCGCACCTTCTTGGAACAGAAGCGGTCAGGCGCCATGGGGTGTGCGGCCTCCGTTGAGGCTGTGGCCAGCGACGGCAAGCGCCTGCTGCCGGAGGGCGTGGCCAAGCTGGACAGCAAGGCGCCGCAGGCAGACCCCCCCGCCACCAAGGAGGACGGTGCACCCAAAGCAGGTCCCCCCGCAAGCAATGCCAGCGCGCCCGAGGCAAAGCCCACTCAGGGAAAGAGCCCCGCTGATGCAACGGGGCCCACCAACGGGTCTTCCCCTGCAACCAACACAAGTGTTGCCATCAAAGAAGCAAATGCAGAGCGCTTCAAGGACGGCGAGGCAACTGTTGTGTTTGTTCTGGGTAAGTCAAAAACTCACAAATGACTCACAGATCAAACCTAGTCTGCAAGGATCTGAGCCCCCCTTCAGATTCTCTGCAAAGTGGCTCTCTGCAATATGGATTGGGCAACAACCATTTGGGCAGATCCTGTGAGATGTCGATGTTCACCAGTGCTAGCAAGAGGGCACTGTTGATGACGTTTCTCGCTACAGTTGGATGTTTTCAGCGTCGCTGTCAGTCACTAATGGAGTGGGGTTTAGGATCCAAAGGGACCGTTTCGAAAGAGATCTGCAGCTCGCTCCCAGTTCACCTCCTGGTTGTTGCTTCTCTTTGACCAGCTTCCGACTCAATCGTCCGTCCCTGGCCCTGATTGTTTGATCTGAGTGTGATGACATTATTCTCTGGCGCGTAGGCGGGCCTGGCTGCGGCAAGGGCACCCAGTGCGCGCGCATGGTGGCAGACTTTGGCTTCCAGCACCTCAGCGCGGGCGACCTGCTGCGCGCCGAGGTGCAGAAGGGCAGCGCGCTGGGGCAGCAACTGGATGCCACCATGAAGGTAAAACGTTTGCAGTTTGACAAAAGTGGCCGAACCACACACTGGGGAATGGTGGCCCATCAGCCTGCAGCCCTGAAATCTGCCGTGACTGGAGTCATGACCATCGAGCTACATCAGCAGTAGCTTCTCAATCCGTTCGAACAGCGCTCGGGCACAAAGAGTAAAGGCAGAGCCAGTAACAAAAGGTGCAGAGGCAACAAAGGAGGGGCGCTTGTTTCCTCTTGACCAGCATGCAGTACTCCGCTCCTCTCCTGCCTGTGCTGACGTGTGCCCCCTTATTCTTTCCTGCTTGCCAGGAGGGCGGCCTGGTCCCCGTGGACGTGACGCTGGCGCTGCTGCGCGCCGCCATGAAGGCGTCCCCCGTGAAGCGCTTCCTCGTGGACGGCTTCCCGCGCGCCGTCGACCAGGCCGTCGCCTTCGAGGCCAGCGTGGCCGCGCCCAACCTGGTGCTCTTCTTCGACTGCCCCCTCGTGAGCCGCCACCCACTCAAAGCACACGACCCGAAAATGGACAGTAGGCCAGGTTTTTAATGGAGACTGCGTCACACACTCATGGCAGAGGCTTGATATTTTTTTTTGGACTTCCATGAACGAGTTTCTGCTTCACCCTGCCGTTGGTTCTCAATCAAGAGTCGCATTTTAAGAGCAAAACTGTACGCTACAAATCAAACTGCGAGCCTGAAGGCAAAGGGATTCAAAAAGACAAGTGGTGACAGCCATTCTCGACGAGTCCTTCCTCTTTTGAGCTTGGAAGTTCGCCTCGTGCACACGAGTAAGAGTAGAGAAGAAGCTCAGAATCGTCATTCTATTTTGGCTGCGCACTCCATGTACCAAATTCATTTTGCCCTCTTGGTATGTCTCAACGACTTTTCAATGAACGGTCTTGCGCAAGGCCCCTCGCCTGACTATCCGCGCCCCTCCTCTTGGATCGACAGGAGACGATGCAAGCGCGGCTGATGAAGCGCGGCGAGAGCAGCGGGCGCGCGGACGACAACCCCGCCACCATTCAGAAGCGCTTCGACACGTTCCTGAGCCAGAGCCTGCCCGTGCTCGCGCACTACCAGGCCGCCCTCGAGGCCGACCCGCGCGGCGCCACCGTGCACAAGATCTCCGCGGTGCCCCCCCCCGACCAGGTCTACACCGAGGTGGCCGCCATCCTGCGGCAGTGCCAGCACACCTTCGTCCCCGGAGCTGCCCCCGCGCCCGCCCCCAACACCGACGAGCCCGCGCCCGCTGCCCTGCTTGCGGCGCCGGCGGCAGTCACGGCCCCCTCCGCCGCTAGAGAGGCGACCAGCGCACTTCCGGCGTCCGTGGTGGCAGCGGCAGCCGGGGAGACGAAGCCGTCTGCCCCGATGACAGCCACGGCTGCGGCAGTCGCACCGATCGTTGCCCCTGTCGCTGGCAGCGGGGCGCCGGCCAGCCCGCGTGCACCCGCGGTGGCAGAGGCGGTCCCCGCAGCACCAGTGGGGACGGCTGCAGCGACGGAGGTCAAGGCAGGGGGGAGTGCGGGCGGCGCAGGAGTGGAGGAAGCGAACAAGGGCGCCGCTGAGAGTGGGGCATCTCTGCCTGCATTGGCAGCCACGCCGGTTGCACAGGAGGCCGTACCGGCCGCCGCGGCAAACAGCGCGCCCACTCCAGCGGAAAGCAAACCAGCAGAGGCAGGAGGGGACGGCAAAGCTGAGGACGATAAGAAAGCGGACAAGGGCGCAGCGGGTACTACTGTGGATGGGCCGCAAGAAGCAAGAAGCGAGGTGCTCATCGCAGCAGTGACGTCGGAACCCAAGCAAGAAGCTCAATAGAGACACTTAAGGTCTTACGAGGCGGATCTGTTTCATCTTGCGACCCAGGCTTATGTCGAAGCCGTACCTTTCTTAGGGGCTTTGAACCTGGGTTTAAGCCGTACCTTTCTTAGGGGCTTTGAACCTGGGTTTAGAGCGCACGCAGTCTAAGTTGTTTTAATTCTTCGCGGGCTATCAAGTGTTCGTTCCTTGTGAAATCAGCAATTCGTTCTCCAATTCTTTCGGCAATAATAAGTAATACAAGCACAGCCGTCCAACTATCGTACAGCTAAATTGTAGATTGCGGCAGTCAAATTGAACTCGCATGAGGCGATATTTAAGTCTGAGCGGGAGCCTGATCCGACTGTAAGATAGATTTATATCCAAAAACGATCTTACTAACATAGCTTTTCGGACCGTCTCGATTAACTAGCTGACAACGCAAGCTTTTGTCTAGAATGTTGCATACAATCCGACACTCTCCTAGGCTAGTAGTGGATCGGAAAAATACCCAACTCAAAGAATGAAGCTTTGGAAGGGAGGATTTACAAATCCGACACCGCGTGGAAATCGCCTGCGGCTCGCCCGTGACGCCAAATGGATTCAAGACCCTTGGCCCGTGTTCATTCAGTTGGTGGGTTTATTCAACATGAGCCTGACGTCAACTTATAGCTCGATCAGCGGCGGCCCCCCGCGCCGAGGCATGCAATAGCTACTATGCATGATGATGTTACGATCGACCGTCAACCTTCACTCGATCTCGTTAATTACTTGGCAAGCTTGGCGCATCTTATGGCGTGAGTACGTCTGATGACTTACATGGACTCCGCGCGAGTCATGT